TTGTGGGGGGGGGGGGGGGGTGATTGTGCATGAAATTCAAGTAATATATTACTAACTAGAACTGCTAGAGCTAACATCATATAACCCAATTGAGATATTGTGGTATAGGCTAACCTCTCTTAGTACCTTTTGGAGCACAATGCGCGGTAGATGTGAAGGACTAGGCCATTTTATCAACAATAATGAGATAAACTAGTATTTGCGGTTAATTCCCCCTGTTAAGTAGCCATGCATTATCATTGGAAACGCCCACTTCTCCGGCAAATAAAGATCTTTTGATCATTTCTTTGAATCAATAACAGATGTTTGACCATACATACGCAAAAACCCTCTAGTAAATTCAATCAAACACTTGACCTTCACTCTGTTGTATTCGACCATTGTGTCCAACTGATCCTTCCTACGAGAAAAAACATTATACAGTTAGAATTGATATGCAGTATACAGTGCATCGTGTTTGGCAGAAAACTAACTACTTAAAAAGCATATATTCCCCAGAACAGGAAAGTAAAGTGTGGGAGTGAATCCATACAATGAAATAAACTCTACCCCTTCCGCAGCATACTGTATAATTTTGTTATTCCTAATTTATATGCACTAGTTTCATGTTAAGCTTGCAACAGCAGCACATAAATTACAACAACAACAACATACCCAGTGTAATCCCACATAGTGGGATCTGGGGAGGGTAGTGTGTAAACAGAACTTACCCCTACAAGTACGGGTAGAGAGGTTGTTTCCAATAGACCCTCGGTTGCAGCCCACAAATTCCTAATCCAATATCATCACTACAATTTCCAAGATATAAACTAGGTTGTAGCAATAGTAGTTGAATTTCCTAAAAACTACGGTTTGGCCTAGTTATAGCAAGTACAGGGTACATTTTGAGCACATAGCAGCACTCTTGATAGAAGGAAAGAAAACCAAAATGTGCTATGGATCACGTTATACATTTCAAAACCAAGGTTCCAAATTTTATTCTATCTTCAATACAATATGACCAAAAAGTTCCAAACTTTCTCATCACTCAGTACACAATGGTCAATACAATATGACCAAAATGTTCCAAACTTTCTCATCAACAACTCGGTACACTAAGGTCAAAGAAACTTTCTGAAGCACAATAAACACTAAGGGGTCGTTTGGTTGGGAAACTACTTATCCCAAGAATAATTATCCCAGGATTGTTATCTCACCCTCCCATAGGGTAAAAATAACACTACAACCCGATTATAACTAATCCTGGATTAGTTATATCGCAAATTATTCCTATCCCAACCAAACGGAGATAAATTAATCTCAAATTTAATTCCGAAATTAATTATATCTTATCCTTCGTACCAAACGAGCACTAAAGAAAAAAACAGAGAAAATACTCTAGTGATACAAAACAAGGAAATGGATACCTGCAATAAATTAGCAAAACAGAGGTTCTCCTTGTTTGAGGCACCCTATTTTATGACACTAAACTCAACCGTTTGCATTCCTTCCAGTTTGCTTTAAATTTCTTTTTTCTAATTTTAGCTCTTTATTGATTTTAATTTGTCTTCTGAGAACGCCGAATATAAGGAAACGAGGAATGGTTGGAAGAGCATTAGCAAGAGGGTGAAAAAGCTCTTCTGTTCTTTCCGGCGGGTATATAAAGAGCTTTTGATTATCGTATTAATTGCAACTTATTAATCGCCTTCATAATTCCGATTTTATAAATCGATATGATATTTACGACTTATAAATCGCAATATTTACGACTTATTATTTCTCATTTGCTAGCTATTGCGACTTAAAAATAACCTTTGGTAATTGCTGACTTATAATCGCATTTAGAATAATACCTTATACGTCATTAACAATATCCACAAGTGTCGCTCACCTTTGCCTGACAATCAAAAATAACGACCCAACAACAATAAAATTAAGAGTATTAGTTTTACATGTTCATTTTATTTGAAATCTTCAGTTGATTTACTTTGATTTTTGTTAACATAGACCAAATTTACACTACTTTAGGCTACTTTGAGAGCTATTGGTGATTCACATCATAGAATATGGACTATTTTGAGTCTAAGGCCCAAACTTAAGAAACGATTTTGAGCCGTTTCACGCCATTTTGCCTATACAATTTGTAAATCGTGATGAATTGATTAAATAACTAATTAGGTTAGGTTGGTTGTAGATTGTAGTCAAGTCCATAGTCAATCTTATACTAATTCCATTTCAACTATAACTAGTCCTAGACCATAGATTGTTTAAGTTAATTGGTACATCCAAGTGATCCCCATTTTAAGAGATTTTAATTTGGACCACTTACTATTGGTTTATTCGCGGCTTTTGCTTCTATACTCGGGTTTGGGGTCACAATTGAACCTATACCCACGTTGCAAAAAGTTTGCAAGCGTACCCACTTTACGATCAACTTCAGACTTATGGGTCTGAAGTTATAAAAAAATGCCTGAAGTGAAAAAATTGCACTTCAAATGCACTTAAGGCAAATAGGTCTGAAGTGCAACCAATGGTTTCATGCACTTAAGGCTAATAAGCCTGAAGTGAAAAATTACACTACAAATGCACTTAAGGCAAATAGGTCTGAAGTGCAACCAATGGTTTCATGCACTTAAGGCTAATAAGTCTGAAGTGAAAAATTGCACTTCAGATGCACTTAAGGCCAATAAGTTGGATGTGAAAAATCGCACTTCAGATGCACTTAAGGCCAAAAAGTCTGAAGTGCAACAAACGTTTTCATTCATTTAAAGCCAATAAGTCTGAAGTGAAAATTTGCACTTCAAATGCACTTAAGGCCAAAAAGTCTAAAGTGCAACAATCGTTTTCATTCACTTAAAGCCGATAAGTCTGAAGTGAAAATTTGCACTTCAGATGCACTTAAGGCCAAAAAGTAAGTGCAACAAACCTTTTCATTCACTTAAGGCCAATAAGTCTGAAGTGAAAATTGCCCAGAAACGAAAATTTATTTTTCGAATTATAACAATCCAATATACGATAATACCTAAATCTACTCCAAATGAGCTCAAATTTGAAACATAGCCACCAAATATCATCAGGAACCAACACCAATCATCAATTTGTCAAAACAACAATAAATCTAATGAACTCATTTTGCAATTAAGAAAAAAAAAATCTAAGCAATAGTAAAAAATAAAATGTCATAACAGCTCACCATTGTAAAATATCATAAACTACATTAAAATATATTCACAACCACCATATAAAATCATTGTCACCCAAAGAAGAAGAAGAAGAAGAAGAAGAAGAAGAAGAAGGAGAAGAAAAAAAATTTTAAAAAGTGGATATACGTTAAATGGGGCGACCAAATAGGGCGCCCCATAAATTTTTACGGTTTATTCGTCGTGATATGTGGAAAAGCTGGACCGTTGTTAGTGATCAACATTAGTTCTTCCATATTGCTACTTCATAGATGCAAACTTATAAAGGAAGTATTTGACATGAAACTTACCAAATTAATTTATTTCAGGAGGCCATTCTCTTGTTAATTTTACAATTAGGTCGGGTTAAAAAATAAACCTTAATCAATCAAAAGTCCTTTTCTCTGTAAATTGTGATCCCACCATCAGGGAAATTCTCTCTCATGCCCTCCAAGCAGTGGTGGATCTACATAGATCATTATGGGTGCTCAAGCACCCATTGTCTTTGACTAGATCTAGTAGATTTATATACGCAATTAACAAAAAATTTGGATAAGTACTAAGTGAGCACCCACAACTAAACTTATTTTCCCTCTTTTTTTAGAATTTTTATCTCCAATCACCCACGACTTTGAAATCTTGGATCCGCCACTGCCTCCAAGTTAAGCAAAGTTTCACTTTTGGTAGATACTTAGGTTTTTCCATTTTTCACCGAAAACCAAAGTCAAGAGACTTCCAATTCGTCATTGATAACATGAATAAGAAACTTACAGGGTAGAAGACTAGATTCCTTAATATGGCAGGTCGCACTACCCTTGCAATATCTACTCTTAATAGTATTCCAAACCATATATGCAATACCACAAACTCCCTAATAAAATCAATAGCCTCATTGATCGAACCCAACGTAATTTCATATGGGGATCTACTGCTGAAAAATCAAAGCTTCATCTTGTTAATTGGCATACTTTGACTGATACTAAGAATAATGGTGGATAAAACAAGAATTTAACTCTCCACACGAGCCTCGCATCGCAACTTTTTAACAACCCTCATTCCTTTTGGGCTCGAGTCCTCATTAATAAATATTGTCGCTCTCGTAGAAACTTTCAGTCTCAAACTCATACCCGTCAACGTAGAACTGATTCAATTATTTGGAGCAGCATTCTTAAGGGATGGTACTTTTGTAATCAAGGTATCCGTTGGATCATTGGAAATGGTAAAAGCATTAATTTTTGGCATACCCAATGGTTACCCAATACTCCTAGTCTTAGAGCTACTATAGAGGGTCTTTTAACTGCTACAGAACATGCTCTCAATATTGCAGCCTCAATGAAAATGAATCTTGGAACCTCAAAAATATCTATTTTGACCTACCATCCAAGTTACTTAACACGATTAATAGTGTTTAACTACCATTATCCCCTGAACGTGAAGATAGGCTAATTTGGAAACTAACAAAAACCGGCAGTTTCAGCTCAAAAACTGCTCGGCCACTTATCAAATCTAGCCACTTAAACACTCTCAACTTCTCTTGGATTTGAAGCTCAAGACACCAAATAAAATAAAATATTTCATTTGGTTATGTTATCATAATCGTTTACCTGAGTCTACTTAAACTCCATAGGCATTAATATTGATAGACAAAGCTCCACCTGCAGATCTTGTGAAGAAATCCTTGATCATATTTTCATTGACCGTGTGGTTGTTAAATCCTTTTGGCAGGCTTGGTATTACTAGTATTCACACTCTTGGCAATCACCAACACTGGTTGGATAGTATTGCAAACCTCCCTCTTACATTACCAAATGCAATCTACACATGAAAAAAACTATTTCCTTTTCGTCTTTGGCATATTTGGATCACTAGAAATAACAACCTCTGCAATAACCTCACAAACTCTCCTTTTGATCTGGTACACATGCGAGCTATAGAGTATGTTGCTCTTGCAAGAAATGACAGCAACACGAAACCACCTCTAGCTCTCCACGTCAAATGGTATCCTCCTAAACAAAATCACTTCAAAGTTCAAACTCAAATACTGATGGAGCAGGAGGTATTGGCGGCGTTTTCCGAAATAGCAGAGGGAATGGGTGCTAGGCTACTACATGCAGATTCCTCAATCTGATCATACATATAGCGAGCTCATATCACTTCTGCATGGTCTAAAATTAGCTTATGCTCATGGCCTTCATCCTGTGGAGGTCGATACAGACTCAATAGAGATTATTAATTAACATGTTCACAACTAACTCCTCACATTATACATCTATCTTACGTGATTGCAGGATACTAAGGCATCAATTAAGGAAGGACTGGAAATTGGAAAAATTGATGCTCCTTCCCGTTTTAGTACTACGACCAACTACTATTTTGCCTAGTCTTATGTTGGATATCTCTGAAGCTACATACCTTAGATCTATCTCTAGTGATGTTTGTAATGTTTTGGCCAACCTTGACAACTTTGATGCTCAGAGGAGCATGTCTAGTTGTACGAACAATATTTAAATTTATATATTAGTTTCTCTTTTGACAAAAAAAAATACATGGGAACTGTCAATGATACATATGTTTTTTTCTTCTTCTTATTTTTCTGTACATATTTTAGGATTACCATACGAAGATAAGAAGGATTGTGATATGATTAAGGTCATTGTCCGGAGTGACTTCATCCATAGCTTGCTAACCTTTATGTTGTATGAAATTGACTTGAGATGAGTCTAAATTAAAATATCGTAACCAATGAAAATTTATATAGCTACTCCGATTTGTTTAAAATTGTGATATAATAATAATAATAATAATAATAATAATAATAATAATAATAATAATAATAATAGAAGTAGTTATTTTAGTTAACACTTCAAAGATATTCTCTTCGTATCTTTTCAATTACTAGTTTTAAAGTACGTGCGTTGCGCGTGAATATTGCATCAATAATAAAAAATTATTAAAAACTTATATTTTCCGCCATATAAATAACTATTAATAAAATTAAAGCAATAATTGAGGTAGAATTTAATCAAAAAACAACGACATAATAAAATTATGAACTAAATATTAAATGTTGTGTCACAACAAATTGATCCTCGTTTAAATAAAATTGCAATTTAAAAAAAACCAGCTGGAGCTTCCTAAATTTCATTTCACCTATAGACACCGTATTGAGCTTTATAATTCAAATACTCTCATACTATAAGAATTGTCTGACAATTGACAAAAATATACTAACATATTAATCAAGGTGCTTGGTCCTGTCGTTACCCTTGAAAAGTAAAAGAATAAACATTTCCAACTCAAATTTAATCAATTAAGTTCCTTAATCAACAAAAAAAGAAAAAAAGAAAAAAGAGTTAATTTAATCCATACTTACCATACATATTGGCAGTACAATGCAATAAAAAAATTTAACTCGAAAAGAACTTGTGAATGAAAACTCATAACATAGATAATTTAGAGAAAGAGAAAC